GATTTTGTCGCTCTTGTTCGGTTTGACTTTTGAACTTATTCTTCAATTCTTTCGACCATATTCCCCGCTGCCGCCAATGCCCCAGCCCGCTGCCGCCTAAGCCCCGCTCCAGCCCCGCGGCATCAAGTATGCACTGAGAGAATGCGGGAACGGCGCGACACCTCCCGCTCATTTCATTGTCTCTGCTCTCGGCGGGCGATGAATTTTGCACGGCGCCGCTGCCCTCGCAAACAAGCCAAAACTGCTTTGTACGTATATTGTACCAAATACGCACTACTCAAGTGGTAGTTTTGATCTGCCTAGTCTATGGACAGTGACATTTGAGAGTTCCAAGCCGTTTTCTTTAAAATTAACATATAAAAAAGTATCAAGACACCTCGCTTAATTTCTCTGCTCTCGGCGGGCGATGAATTTTGCACGGCGCCGCTGCCCTCGCAAACAAGCCAAAACTGCTTTGTACGTGTATTGTACCAAATGTACGCACTACTCAAGTGGTATAGTCCCAATACAATGAACTGTCCCACCCGTGACATTGACAGGGGGCGCTACAGTTAATACTGGATCGCTGGTTCCGATTTTTGCCATAGTCCAGTCATTTAAGCTTAAATTATGTAAGAATCTCGGAATTCGAGATACCCAGCTGTAAGTCTGTAAATACTTGTATATTGACACCCTTAAAGTTGTCTCAAAACCTACATATGGTAGGGTGTAAGCAACTATTAAATTTTAAGGTCAAAGGTCACAAAAATCGGTTTTTTGCGCTTTTTTTGGAAATATCTCATTTCCTATGGGTTTTTTGCTATTTGTATTTATTATCAATATTGTAGAATACAAAATTCTCTACAAATTTTGTTAAAAAAAATTTTTTATACGGTGAACCGTTTTCGAGATAGAGGGCGGCCGCTAGTTGTCGTCGTTTCAGCCGAAAGACGTCCACTGCTGGACAAAGGCCTCCCCCAAGGATTTCCACAAAGACCGGTCCTGCGCCGCTTGCATCCAGGTACTTCCCGCGACCTTCACCAGATCGTCGGTCCACCTAGTGGGAGGCCTGCCCACGCTACGTCTTCCAGCTCGTGGTCGCCACTCAAGAACTTTCCTGCCCCAGCGGCCATCAGCTCTTCGAGCTATGTGCCCCACCCACTGCCACTTGATTTTAGCGATTCTGCGGGCTATGTCAGTCACTCTGCCGCTAGTACTTATAATAAATCTGTAGAGAGGTCAATTCTATACATGAAATATATTTTCAAAATAACTATCAGGGGGTGATTAGTGATCGATACTGATGCCAAAAATGCAATCAGTAAAATTTTTGTCTGTCTGTCTGTCCGTCTGTATGTTCCTTATAGAAACAAAAACTGCTCGACGGATTTTAACGAAACTTGGTACAATTATTCTTCATACACCTGGGCAGGTTATAGTATACTTAGGAATTCCCACGGGAACAGGAATTAGCGGGAAAATCCTTTTGTATGAAAAATCTAAACGCTTAGCGGAAGTTAGACGCTTGAAATTTGGCATGTAGGTACCTTAGTAAACTTAAAGCTTATTTACAACAAGGAATTCCCGAAATTCCCACGGGAATTAGCGGGAAAATCATTTTGTATGAAAAATCTAAACCGCTTAAGTTGACCTGAAGTGATGCAGTGACCGCGCGCTCTCCGCCCTCTATCTCGAAAACGGTTCACAGTATAAAAAAAAATTTTAAACAAAATTTGTAGAGAATTTAGTATTCTACAATATTGATAATAAATACAACTAGCAAAAACCCATAGGAAATGAGATATTTCTAAAAAAAGCGCAAAAGCCGATTTTTGTGACCGTTGACCTTGAAATTTAATAGTTGCTTACACCCTACCATATGTAGGTTTTGAGACAACTTTTAGGGTGTCAATATACACGTATTTACAGACTTACAGCTGGGTATCTCGAATTCCGAGGTGAACTTACTATAATGACTGGACTACCATGTTGGAAACCTTTAAAGTTGAACCATGGTGATGGCCTGTCAATGAGTTTGGTGGGACAGTTCAGTGTAGGTCATCTATAGTTTTGATCTCACTAGTCTATGGACAGTGACATTTGAGGGTTCCAAGCAGTTTTCTTTAAAATGAATAGATAAAAAAGTATCAAGACACCTTTCTGTGCTCTCGGCGGGCGATGAATTTTGCACGGCGCCGCTGCCCTCGCAAACAAGCCAAAACTGCATTGTACGTATATTGTACCAAATGTACGCACTACTCAAGTGGTAGTTTTGATCTGCCTAGTCGATGGGCACCGGCAGACATCGGTACATTCTACTGATAGTAAGAATAGGATTGAAATCTGCCTGATTTCTCGACCTGATTGATCTAGGCTCTCAAAATGGTTTCTATCAAGTTACTTGTATGTTTGTCTTACGCCATCGCGCCAGTCTCCGACATTACTTTTCAAATAGATTATTGAAAAAGTTTTCAATGAAAAAAATATTTTTCTGCTTATCATCTACAAAAGGTTCTTAATTTTCGGTTTTATTCAGACTGTGTAATTATGTGCTTGAATAGATTTTCTCGACATTTTGGAGGAATAATACAAATATTTAAAACTTTATTGCTTTAGTTACATCATATCATAATAATGAGGTTATACTATGGTTCAGGTCATATCCAATGAACTACATGATGCAATAAACATATATGACTATGACTATGACTACAGCTCTTTTTCTAAGATAATTTAAATATTATTTCAGACTGCATTATACAACACGCCTTTTAGCCCTCGGAGTGCTAAGATGTCCGAGAAGCCTAATTAAAATTGTAGTGCATTTCATTGTCTAGACTAGGAAGTACCGGGCGACGCTTGAAAATATGACTACAGTGTGCGCTGCCCCTTAGAAACAGGAGATCCGGAGTCCATGGATGGATAGATAGTAAAAGAATGAACTATCAAGTATATTTCAATCCAAGTTATAGCCCAGATTGAGCAACATTTTAATTTTCATTTTAGTACCCTACCCTAGAATTATTTTTAGTACCTAAGGTTTAAATCGATAAATACTAATTAGTGTTTTGTGACAAATGTACCTATATCGACTACTTACTACTTTACGGTAGTAGCACTTGACTTTCCTAGAAATTTCGGTATCCCCTAAAATAAATATTTGTAGGAAACTGTACTAGACATTGTATTACTCGTATACTATTTAGCTATTTATTTCACCGGGACACCATGGCGGCGCAACCAGTCGCCGGCTACCAACAAAATGTATGCATCTCTATAGAGAGTTACTCACCTGGTGTCCGTTTGGTTGCGCAAAGCTGCATACATTTTGTTGGTAGCGGCGACTGGTTGCGCCGCCATGGTGTCCCGGTGAAATATAGCCCTTAAACTCAACTCTNGGCTACCAACAAAATGTATGCATCTCTATAGAGAGTTACTCACCTGGTGTCCGTTTGGTTGCGCAAAGCTGCATACATTTTGTTGGTAGCGGCGACTGGTTGCGCCGCCATGGTGTCCCGGTGAAATATAGCCCTTAAACTCAACTCTAAGTAGAACAGCTGAAAATTGAATGCATCGTAGTATACATCTCATTTCTCACTGTACAGTGCGCTGCATAAAAGCATTGTAATGTGGAACTGGACGCTTGATCTTGTTGAGAATGCTAAACAATGTTTGCAAAGAGAATAACTTGTACGAAACTAGGCGTTAAGATGTAGAGCGAGTTTATTTTTGCTTTTACAACCTAATAAAAAAGAGTTTAACTTTAGACTTTGACTTATTTCATTAATCATTAAATTCCTTTAAACAAAAAAAAAACATAAACAATAGAAGAACAACAAATTACAATGAAACTGAAGACGGATGTCGTATGCCTTAGCCTTTTTCTGCAAAGGAAAAAAATTGAACAAAAAAAACAACAATATTTATTTTTATTATGCCTTAGTAATAGTGGGCCACAGTTCCAGCTACCTATTTCCGTTTTTTTCTCTCGCTCTTATCAAGCAGTGATTCTTTGCGATAGAACGAGACAAAATAACTGTGCTGAAACTGTGGCCGATAGTACAACAGCTGAGTGGTATATAAGTTTCTACATTGACATTATTAGTGTTCAACAACTCAATAATTTTTTGCTGAACCCGTGTTTAGTACCCGTGTCCTAAAAATCCCTAAACCAGTCCTCGTTTAATAAGATTTAGTCATTTATACAAATTTTCTTGAAGTAAGGCCGTGCCAAAGGCGGCGACTGTCCGCACGCTTCGCCGGTCGCAAACCGAGTTATTTAGATCAAAGCGATTGGATGTCAAGAGTGTCTTACACATCGTATGGGGCTAGATTTTTATCGTTTTGTTTTCGAAAAACTAACTTTAAATGTTAAATTTGATGTGAAACCCTTTTTAGCATGTAAAAGAAAATTTTTGCATCTTTACATTTTGAAAAAATAGATAAAGATGTCTGTTTTACATGATTACAGTACGTAATCTAGTTACGTAACAGTTTCTTAAAGTTACATAATTTTAATAACTAGCAGCGGTAACCCCTCTAAGTGTACCCTACATACCTACTTAATATAAGTTTCAAATTGTTTGAATTTATTGTTACGTTTATTGCGCTGAAAAAACGTTTCAACGTACAGTTTGTTTCAGTCCTCTAGGAGCGGTGTTGTGTAATCGGAACATGCTATGTACGCAGTTTTATCGCCACCTATTACGAATTTAGCAGCGTTTTAGACGATTATCACACTGCACCGCGCTCCGCCGCGGTCCGCGTGGCTACATATAAAGAATCCCGTGCGCAGACGCGTTGTCAGTGTGTTGCGCCGCGCGTGTACAATACAAACTGAAGTACTTGCATACAATGATTAAATCTGTCGTCCCGCGTACCGCGGCGGAGCGCGGTGCAGTGTGATAATCGCCTTAAAGTTTAGCAGCACAACTACTAACTAAGTCCATGGGCCCTTTAGGGGTTACCAATTATAATTGGTAATTATCACCTTAACTCACCGGTGTTTCTCATTGTTGTAGTTCCGGCGCGTTCCGCTCGTCGCCCGGCGGCGCCACGAGCGAGCCGGCGCCCGCGCCGCCGCCGCCGCTGTTCCTGCCGCCGCATCTCTCGCATCTGTCGCAGCACCTCAACCACTTGTCACAGCCCTTCTTCCCGCTGAAAGGTAGCTTTGGGTTTCATTTAATTTCTTTGCTCGTTAAATAATGAAGACCGTAATATGTCCTTGAAATTAATAGTAAAAGATTCATAGGTATAAAGGTTAACGCTTGTTTTGGAAAAATTCAAGAAGTTATGTTTCTCTTAGGTTAATTTCTATAGGCGAACCGTTACTTTTCCGGCAAAGCCTAAGAAGGCCTGCCATCTTAAAATATTCATTTCTTTAATCGTTAATAAGCTGCAAACAGTTTCAATCAACCTAATTTTTCAAAACTGTTTAAGCTTCAATTTGTCAAATATTTCTTACTAAAGTTCACCTCAGCGCAGTGCAGTCTCTTTCGTAGTTACGAATACGGATCCCCATGCAATTAGTTCAGAAACTATAGTGCTATACCTATAACTCACAGAATTACAAAACTTAAATTATTTTCCAACCAGGTTGGGGCCCGCCCTGCCCCTGCTGCCCCAAAGAAGAAGTCCGCTCGTCCAGCGTGGCGGAACTCCGTCGCAAAGCGCACGAGCACTCCGCAGCGCTCCTGCATTCCCTGGCCAGCTTCCAGTCGCGCGCGCTGCTGCCGCTGCCGCTGCATCTGCCGCCGCTGCCGCTATCGCTGCTGCCGCACGACGCGCCGTCCGCGCCGCAGCCGCCCGACCCGCCCAAGCACCTCGAATAATCAAGAAACTGCTGCACACAGCTTACCAGTAATTAGAACAAACTTGTAGTCGGGATCTAGATATGTCTCAGGAAAAAGACCTTGCATAATAAATCACGTCCTAGCTCCGCCACACTAGCCTGAAGAAATGACACGACTTCAGAGAAACCTTTTTATTCAGATGTTCCTCTAGTTCTAAAGAGCGGTGCTCTAGAAGCTATTCGATTCTTGATTCTTCTCATCACAAAGAGCACTCTCCAGCGCTCCTGCATTCGCTGGCCAGCTGCCAGTCGCGCGCGCTGCTGCTGCTGCATCTGCCGCCGCTGCCGCTGTCCGCGCCGCAGCTGCCCGACCCGCCCAAGCACCTCGAATAATCAAGAAACTGCTGCACACAGCCACTAGAAACTATAACAATCGCGTGTTCAGGTTCTAAATTTGTCTCAGGAGAAAGACCTTGTAAAATAAATCACGTGCTAGCTCCGCCAGCCCAGCCTCTAGAGACGACGCGACTCAAAAACATACATCCTTATCCTTATCTCTATGTTACTACATCAAGTCACAGCTGCAATTCTTAGAGAAAACCTATTCAGATTCACTTCTGGTTCTAAAGAACGCTCCTGCTGGCCATCTTCCATTCGCGAGCGCTGCTGCCACTCCCGCTGATGACGTTGTCACTGCTGCCGCTCGATGCTGCTGCGAAGCTGCGTCGATTTAGCCTCAAACATGATGCAACTCATATACAAACATCATCTCTACGCTACTACATCAATTAAACAGCGGAAACTTAAATAATTATATAGCATGCATGCAGCTCTCCAAAAAATTTGCAATACCTAAACTAGGTTACTAAGTTTTAAGCACTGTATTTAGTTATAAGACCTTATGTACCTACACTTAGTGAGCAAATAAATGAATATGAATATGAATATGAACTTTAAAACCTATTTAGAAGTTATGGTTCTAAAGAGCGCTTCTGCACTTCTGACCAACACACAAGTGCTATTGTTGCAGCCGTTTTAACTACGATATCAACAAATAAAATATCGATTCTCATTCATTAAAACAAAAAATATTATCGCAGCTTAAGAAATGACACATTTAGGAAATTATCATGCTTTTACAAAGTTCACCTTTTGTAAATACTTTATTGAATTAAATCCGTGAGTTCACATGTGCCATACGAACTGCCCAAAAGTATTCCACGTGCCAATGTATTGTGCCATAAATACTGTTTTATTGTTTTTAATATAGATAATTAGTATTTAAGTATTTTCAATTTGTACATAAGTAGGTATTAAAATAAATTCCTTTAATAAGTATATCAATCTGACGAGCACTTTATTTCGATACATTAATTTAATAAATCATATTGTAAGCAATTTTCACTCACCTTGTCTGTGTATGCTTTAAAAACATTTTACTTGAGAATATCCATTTTAGAAAATCCAGTGTGACATTCTGTAATAAATAATAATAATAAATTAACTAAACTTGTATACCTACATAGTTATAAAAATATAGAACTCTAGGTTTCTTGTGAAAAAGCTTTTAAATAAATAAAACCCAGTATGTAAGAAACTTAATAGAACTTAAAACATAAGTTTAATATTTACATTAAAATTTCGTTGATATTTTGGTTGAAAATCAATTTAATGCGATGTAAGTAATTAATAAATTGTTAAATTAGCGTTAGAAATTATTATTTTTTGTAAATATACTGATTAACATTGCCAATGCAGTATTTGACCAAAATATGTTGTGAATATTTTTTTCTAAGTATAATTTATAGAAATAAGTTTATGTAAATATAAGTATATAATAAAAATAAAACATATAACCTATAGTGATTCGGTGTTTCGTAAGGTCTGTAGCTTGCCATGTACATATTATTATGTCTACGAGTTATGAGATTTTTCTTCAATTAACTACTTACTACTGTATGTTTTATTATTTTCATGACGTCCTGTGGCTCTACAATATAGGAAAAACGTATGGTTTTTGATTTACAATTACCTATTATCTTTGTCACCTATTTTTGTTCCTGGATTTTACATTCGATATAGATACCTAAAATGTTTGTTATTCACTACAAACCCTTTTAAACATAAGTAAAACCAAACACGTTATTTTGAGTTGCACTAGAGCTGTTAAAAAAATGGAAATGTTGGTTTTAGCTTTATTTAGATTGCCATAATATAACTGTAATATTAACTATCATAGTTACTGCACGCCCGCGCCATGTTTGTATATATGTGTGAGCGAGAGAGGTATACACCACTGCACCATGCACGATACCGGGAATTGGTGGCGCGGGCGTATGTATAGTACATAATATAAATAAATAACGCAATACGTACCTTAGTTACACGTGGTTAGTTGTTTTAATTATGAAATAAAACATTACGTAACATTATTTATGTTTTTTTTCTGACCCCTGAAAACATGATGATACAGCAAGCAAGTTATATTTGGGAAGTAGGGTAAACCAGAGAGTGATTGCCCACTGGTAGTGATTGCCCGCTTTAAGAATAATATTGTCAGGTGCTGACTTTGAATCACTCTCGTTAGATTTGAATTTACTAAGTAGATGGCTCCGAGATCAATGTACAGTAGATTTAAAATTTACAATAGGAAACACTAAAAAAAACAGTTATGGCAGATTTTGTCAAGACGGGTGAACAAAAAAAAATATTGGGCAGGTGTGTAGGTAGTCGTAAAATTTTGCTCTGTCAAAGTATCGTCACCGCTACTGCAAGCCTTTTTGATTACTTACAGTGAGAAAAAGAAATACTAATTAGGTGTGTTGCTTAATTTGTGCAGTGAAAGTGAAACTAAGAAAAAATCTACAGTGTAAATTACTTGCAAGAAAAAAAAACTATATTTTCGTGTGACTTTGAACAATATGCACGTTGGACTTACTTATATTCCTGGGATCTGCGAGCATCTCGTTTCTCCACTGCAGTTTCTTCGCCAAACGCTACAAATGATGGTAAGTGGTCACTATTAATCAGTTACTCACTGGATGAACCGAAGGTTCTCTGAAAGAAAGTTCCCCATGATTAGCTTTACGACGAAACACCCGCGATTCGTCGGAGATACGTTATAGAATCTGTATAACCTAAAGGCAAGACACATCTTAATTTGTGGCTAAACGCCTTTCTTTCCTAACGCCTAACTCTTTCCTTTGGATCTGGTGGTGGTGACTGAGTTTGTTGCGGCGCTTCTTCTCAGCACTTGCCAAATGTTGGTCTCGAAGCACTGGTAGGGTAAAAAGATTATGAGACATGTAAAGGCTCCTTAAGAGCAAAATATTTGAGATTTGTAAGTACTGTTTATTAGTCTAAACAAATAAAGAAATATTGACTTTGATCAGGTTGCCGCCTCAATGAGGGCTATCGTTTTTATACTTAACAGTTGGCACCCCTGGCGATTGACAGGACCTTACTCTACAGTGGCGCCATCTTGATGAGTGCAAATGCGATAGTCCTCCTACCAGTTTCGCGCTCACCAGTTGGTGCCACTGTCTTCGCTACTAGCAAGTGACAGGACCTTACTCTACAGTGGCGCTAACTGGTGAGCGCTAAAACGATAGCCCTCATTACAAAATACTATGTCTATTCGGTCTTTGACCTACACTCCTCATGCTGGCCAGGTCGATTGGGTAAGAGGCTTGCCTGATTTTTGCATACCTATTTGTACCTTAGTCAACTTTGATGGCATTCACGGAAAGAATGGGAGCACTTAAGAGCGTTTACGCAACGCGCGGCGTTTCAAGGGGCATCATTGGAAATGATTCGCGCGCGGCGTTTTTTAATAGTTTTCAAATGTTTATAGCAAAACAATAACAATGAATTATATATCGTTTCAAAGTAAATATTTTAAATAAGATGTTATTTTATTATATTAAGCTATTTTTATGTTGAATTAAAGAAGAATAATGGTGTAAAACTCACTTTGATTTTTGGGTATTTCGCGTTATTTGAATTTGTGATTTCTTATTGTAAAATGCTTAAATCTAAGAATTTCCTCAATTAACTATTTGCCTAAGGACCTATGCTATAGGATATAAATGTTTGTTATATCGTTTTCACAGTATTTTTATAAAAATTTCAGCTTGTAAACTGACGCTAAAGTGGAAATTTGAAAACCTGTGTGGACTTATCTTGATAGAATTCTTAAATACTATACTAATTGAAATATTTTCTCAACTAACTATTTAGACGACGAAATTGCCTAATTATTTATGCCTATAACATATTTGTAATGTAACTGGTTAATGATTGTAACGGGTTGAAAAAGTACTGTTTTTGCGCCAAACGGCGTAAACGCTCTTAAGTCGACTCTGTTGGAATTAAAAGGCACCCGTTTCGTTATCGTATTAACAATACCAGTTAGGATTTGTAAAATATAGTTTTGGCCGCTTTTGATGTAGGCTAATCTGATCAATATAAAATTATATTATTTTATTAGTTGATTGACTGACAGTTATACCCCTTAGTCCAGTCAATAAAGCATTATAGATGGAAAACTGTAGAACACCATTTCTGACCTCGGGACTTTATTTAGCCTAGTTAGGAGGTGAACATAGCAAAAGTCCCCGCCCTTAGCCCTTGAGCCGGCGGGGGGAGGGGGGTTTAAAGGTACCACTTTTCGGTTTTTCACTTAATCCTCGGAAACTATGCGTCCTAGTGACATGACTACTAGGAACCAAATAAAGCTTATTCAATTTGCTACAGGCGAGACCGTCAAGTTTTTCTATATCTTGTATAGTTTTTGCGACAACTGCTCTAGAAGGTCTGTAAAATTGGAAATTTTATTTTTGTCTTATGTGTTTCTATCAGGAGAAAATCGACTAAATCAACATTGAGCAAACACTATAGACATGCGGGAGCATGTTAAGCCTAGTTCCAGGGAGGGGACTGCACCGTGCGTATATTTAGACGAACCAATTGTAGCCACTTTTGACTCCTCATCATTCAAAAACTACTGTGCATTAACACTTCAAATTTGGCTCATATGTTGAGACTTGCAAGATATACATCAGCTTCAAATTACATAAATATGCCTTAAACGGTTCTTTAGGTATTGACGTCCAAAAATCTACATGTCTGACCTATAGACCAAATTCTAACCACTTCCAGATGACCTCGAAGGTTCAAATTTTGCATCCAGAAAGGTAGTTATGTAAATACAAAGGAACAAATAAAAAACCAGTAAATTTTAACATTTCACAGGTGATAGATAGATTTTAGTGTTCTAAATGTCGATTTTTGAACGTCAATACCTAAATAACCGTTTGAGGTATATTTATGAAATTTGAAGCTGATGTATATCTTGCAAGTCTCAATACATGAGCCAAATTTGAAGTGTTAATGCACAGTACTTTTTGAATGATGAGGAGTTAAAAGTGGCTACAATTGGTTCGTCTAAATATACGTACGGTGCAGTCCCCTCCCTGGAACTAGGCTTAACATGCTCCCGCATGTCTATAGTGTTTGCTCAATGTTGATTTAGTTGATTTTCTCCTGATAGGAACATATAAGACAAAAATAAAATTACCAATTTTACAGACCTTCGAGAGCAGATGCCGCAAAAACTATACAAGATATAGAAAAACTTGACGGTCTCGCCTGTAGCAAATTGAATAAGCTTTATTTGGTTCCTAGTAGTCATGTCACTAGGACGCATAGTTTCCGAGGATTAAGCGAAAAACCGAAAAGTGGTACCTTTAAACCCCCCTCCCCCCGCCGGCTCAAGGGCTAAGGGCGGGGACTTTTGCTATGTTCACCTCCTAACTAGGCTAAATAAAGTCCCGAGGTCAGAAATTGTGTTCCACGGATTTCTCTCTACACCGTCGTTAAGGCATTCATTGACTGGACTACCTATGAAATCATCCAAGTATGAAAATTAAATATCACTAACTACGAGTACCTACCTACTAATAAATTCAAATCCAATTGAAAAAAAAAACAATCATAGGATTGAAGCTTTACTTGAAATGAGCAATGCGGGATAGTCCATCCCAAAAAAAAAAAAGAAATGAGCAATTTCGTACATTTCGCTAAATGCTTACAAACTTTACATTTCTCATAATCTTGACTAAAACAACTTGAGTTGTCTGTCTGCAAAACTTTCGACACATCTCAGGTGTAATTTCAAGCAATAAAATGTCCGCGGCCCAAATGAGAGAATCCAAAAACAAACTCGAATCATATTTTGCGAAGTTTTAGAACAATCAGCTGTATTTCTCAAAGTTTCGACGAGTTAAACGGGGGAACAGAAAAGACGTAGAAGCATAACAACTGTCCCAACCCAACGCTGTAAATCGAGATGCGGTGGCTATCTCTAGATTTAGTACATACCTTTTAGGGAAAAAATTGTTGTGTACCTAGCCATAGTTTTAGGAAACAAAATTGTTAGATGTGGAAGATATTTTCATGAAAATGGTATTTGCTTTAAAGCCTTCTACGCTTTTGTCGTTGCTCCAGTTAAGCCATATTTCACTTTTCTAAATGATTCATGAACCCTTTATTCTGAAGTTTAAACGTTTGTCATCGCATTGTGAACGCCCACTCGCTACAATGAAAATGGCTGATATATTTATGTTACAAGTTTGGAGTAATGTGGTGCGTAACTGTGTACAGTCATTAGCATTAGTACAAAGTATCGGACTGACGGCGTGGAAATATGGGCGTTATAATAAGAAAATGTAGGGGCTTATTACTTTTACTGTAGAAAGGAATAAGATTTATCATCATCATCATCATTTCAGCCATAGGACGTCCACTGCTGAATATAGGCCTCCCCCAATGCTTTCCACGTTGATCGATTGGTAGCGGCCTGCGTCCAGCGCTTCCCTGCTACCTTTACGATGTCGTCGGTCCACCTTTTAGATTTTCGTTTTCCAGTACGCGGCCTCCATTCTAGAACCTTGCTGCCCCATCAGCCGTCAGTTCTGCGTACTATGTGCCCTGCCCATTGCCACTTCAGCTTGCTAATCCTAATAAGATTTATACTGGTGCTGTTTTCTAAGAAATGTAGGTATTTATTTATTCTGGTACATAATGACATATGGCATTAAGTTCACTATAAGCACCTTATTTTAAATGCAAATAAGTCAAAAATAAAAGAAATCACTCACTAAATGAACGAATACGACTAAGTGTTACAGAATGTGGATGTCGTAGTCGACAAGTCGTAGCGCCTGGTTCTACGGGATTTTGTAGCATTTTCGTAGCGTCGTAGCAAGTAACGTCAACTTAGGCTATTAGATAGTGATAGAAAGGAATAAATTAGAAGATGTTTTATATTTCATCTTATTAATTTCGTCTAATAAACTGCTTAAACCGAAGAGTGGCCAGGCCTCCCACTAGGTGGACTGACGATCTGGTGAAGGTCGCGGGAGGTGCCTGGATGCGGATTGCGCCGGACCGGTCTCTGTGGAAATCCTTAGGGGAGGTCTTTGTCCAGCAGTGGACGTCATTCGGCTGAAACGAATGATGTTAACGGGAAGCACCTAGACACGGGAAGCGCAGAGCTAATCGTTGTAGAAATTCATGGAAGTGATATTTGTCCAGCACTGAACTTCTTTTGATTAAATCGAGGTAGGATAGACAAAAAAATAAATTAAACTACAAACTTTTTCGTCCAATCCAGATAGGATTGCTCACTTACGAACAAAACCAGGTTCTGCTAGTAGCATTCTGTTTATAATTTACGTCCAAAGTTTCAGACTACAGGTGCGAAGGTAACCGCACAAGTTTACAATTTACGGCGACAGCGCAGACTTAACTAATATTGTAATGTGGTTTTGTTTAAGGTTTCGTTTGTATATGAAACTCTTCTTTTCATATTTATTTAAAAAAAATATTTGTATCATCATTGGTAGGTAGGTACTATATAGTATCAGTTGCGTGAGTTATGACTAGTGAAGTTATAAAAATGCATTTTTCGATGCCATCAAAAATTGTCTGTTATATTTTTAAGAGTCAAAAGTATTTATTATCTAGCTAGAAGTATGTCTATTACCTTTGACCAATCTCTTCAATCTGTAGTAGGTCTTTTAATATGCGTATTACCAGGCCTGTTCATCTCCGCGAGTGAACATCGAAAAAAAAAACACGCACGATGGCCCACCTACAGGATACAATTCGATAAGGCCTCACATACGAGCGAACATTGACTCACGCACGCGTATTCTTGTGTATGATGGAAGAAAATAAAGAAAATGGTGTACTAAATACTGTGCAGTATTTAACTGCCTAAATAATAATAAAAACACAGAATGTACTTTTTAAGTTGCCCCAAGACACTGAGAGGTAAATAAGTAGTTAATATTATTCATGCTAAATCATGTATTTCCTCCGCCATTTTCCGCAGTTTGGCACCTCACGTCACATCATTTTACCGAAGTCAGCCCTATAGCTTCGGCGCAGTGCCGATCACTGACGTTTGTCAACAAAATGGTGCTTGACTCTTGAGACAGGCTAAATTACACCATATTGTTTGACATTGAGCATACATTTTTTTAAATACCTTCGCGAAGTAAAACTTCTGTACGTAGTAGGTACTTATTATTATTCTGTGGTATTACTTATATTCATGCTGGGGAAAATCTGTTATAAAAACAAAATAAAACAAAAATTACAAAGTTAAGAATTTATTTTAATAAATATTGAAACACATGATAAGGCACGAGCATGTTTTACAATTCCACTGAAAACTTTTGTTGAACAAACACAGGTACAGTAAAACATTACTTTTAACATTAATGGGTATTTACATGGGTTATGGCGTCAACTATCCAATGTTGTATGCTTGATTTCGAATATAGTTTTCATCAGATTACGAGCTTTAGAATACATAAGCTATTCTTATTCTACATGAGTTTATGTTAGAGTAAGTCTCGTGTTCGTACGTTGCGACGCACAGCATTGTTGAATCCCTCCCGGTACTGGTAGAACACTCTGCTTGAGGATATCACGTCGGGAACAGCGTCTGAAAACAAAATTGAGTTGAAAATTCTGAGGACAAATTTTATTAAAAAATAGGGGATATGTTTTTTAATTTTCACATTTCTTTAGCCTTGGCATTATCAACTGTGATTTCTTTATTTTTATATTTCTTTACCTTTGGCATTATGAAATCATCCTGTTCTTTTCTTTTAAACTAATCTTTTAATACCTAAGATAAAGATATTATTAATCTCGTAACCTCTTGTACGCTGCTTGTTGAAAGAACAAGCAGCGCCTCGTACTGGTTAGTATGTGTTATATGACATCAGGCTCTGCTAATTCGATACCACATTTTTTTAACGCTTGCATCTTTATCTCTTTTGAAAAAAAGATTAGATTATATTTTAATCAGGTGATAATTAACTTTTAGAAACTATGCATTATACTCGTATTTTACACGTTTATGTGCATGTCTATGTACGAGTATATGAATTACAAGCACAGACAATAATTCAAACAACCACCCCGCAAAACGTGTAATCGCATACAAAACAAGCGATTAAGTCCGCGATTACAGCGGGCCACATGTGCGCGCGCGCTCGCTGCGCTGTTAATATCAATTACAACTGTAATGTATGTTACGGGGAAATGGCTGTAATGTGTGTTTTTCATTTGCTTAATAGAATATACTTAACGCTTTTTAGACAACATACAGGCACAAAATATAACAGAAGGTAAACTCATGTATGTACCTCGCTTTGCATACCTCTCTCGCTCGCACGCTCGGCCGTCGCGCTAGGGTTGTCTTGTCATGTGTTGCGTTTATTTCGTTATGATAGAAAAATGTTACTCTTAATAACACTATGCAAGAAAGACAATAACAGATATCCACGTATACTTATTTATATTTAGTACGTTATTATAGTAATAGTTTGCAAACAAATACACGAGAAGGGAGTAGTATTTAGTTGAGTGGTTGACACTATTATCCAACTAATATATAAATGCGAAAGTTTGGATGTCTGGATGTCTGGATGTTTGTTGCTCTTTCACGCAAAAACTGCTGAACGGATTTTGATGTAACTTTACAGTATTATTGTTTATAACCCTGAATAACATATATAGGCTATAATTTATGACGATCTGTGACAAACTAAATTTCACGCGGGTGAAGCCGCGGGCAAAAGCTAGTTATCCAATAATTCCTAAAACCTCTCTAAAACAATTCGATACCTATTCCTAATAATTGAGTTGGCTTTCAATTTCAATTGAAATTCAAATAAATAACTTACTTACCTCCCCGAATCAACTGGTAATTTAAAAAAAGAAAATTCGGTATTTAATGATGAATTTAAGCAACCAAATACCGAACAATTATAATACGACTTTTTCTGTTCACTCATTTTCGTCAATTTCGCAAAACAAAATAATATCACAGGCGGTTGACCGGCGCGTGACTCAAGCGAACCACAGCGAACGTGTGGCGAACGTCTGTCGCGCCACGTCGCGCTCGCATTCGTCCAAGACAGTCTTGCTAAAGCGGTGTCTATGTGTGCGTGGCTCGAGCGCGTTTAGTATGGAGTTTGTCTTCTGTTATATTTTGTGATACAGGTTACAGGTAGGTATAAAATGTTTTTTGTGAGATTACGCAAGATTAAGGAAGCAATAAACATATTGAGTATTAAGATACGAAATTACTCGTTAGGAGACAAATATTATATCACTAAGATGAGAACAAGTCACACTCTAATGCCGGTTGCAGACCAAGAGCTAAGCTAAGTTAGTTTCGTTTAGCTCGCATAGCTAACGCCGTTTTACATAGCTGTGTGCAGACTGAAAACTATGCAAATACTATGGAAAATTGAGCCAGATATACGAGCGAAGCTCAATACCCAATTATTTATTGCATCCATAATGTTACAGAGGTGGTAGGGTATTATTTTAGATAAAAATTATGGACCCGGGCACATCATTTTAGGAGCGGAGACTAACTTAGCTCTAGGTCTACAACAAGCATAAGTTATGGATGTTCGTTTAATTAAAATCACCCACAGTCAAAAAACTCAACGCCCTAGGTTGTAACGCCAATTGAAATGCATAGATATTATCTTTGTAAAGCCTGGTCCGTGAGCACGTAGAATTTTGTCCAATGACCCCAAGCTACCCATCCTTATCGCTCGCGCGTAATTATGTTCCTGTCGCGCTCGCACACTCACTGCGGGCGCGCGTCGCACAGTCGCGACAGCAATATAATTACGCGCGAGCGATAAGGATGGGTAGCTTGGGGTCATTGGACAAAATTCTACGTGCTCACAGAAAGGGCTTTAACATCTAAACGTCGAGTTTCCACACATGGAGTCATACCTACATCTACCCGCGACAATGTTTGCCGTGCCTAATTGTTCTGAGTCCCGCCCCTCGTAAACGATGTTAGCTTATGTAATGAACTTTTGTGTATGTGCCCGATGTGAAGCGGTTCATTTTAATAGGTATTTGAGGGTAGCAGAAAAAAATACTAAAACGAAATAAATTATGATTAACTAGCGGATGGTTTAAACTTTAACACTTAACTTTATTTTCAAAATCAAAATCCAAAATATTTATTCAGTTTCGACCACAAGTGGCACTTATGAACGTCAAAATATAGTAAATAATAAAAAAGAAAAGGGCTACCTTTATGGGGCACTTTACATGTCTCCTTATCTTTTGGGCCTTACCAGCGCTTCGAGACAAACATATTATTTTCCACTGTTAAAAATGGAAAACCTCATATTTTTATAAATACTTGTAAGTGGCAACATTTAACGATTTTCAAGTCTTGTATCTTCAAATGGACAGATTCAGAAACTTAAATCCTGTCGTGTCCCTTTTAAGTCTTCTCTGCTGCTTCTCTCAGATTGCATATCTACCAAATCTCTATTTCAGCTCTATCTATTAAATATAGTTTCCAACATTACTTATTTAGACAGGCCAGGGCTTTGACTTCCAAAATATAGTTTTTGTGTGAGCTTAAAAGTTTTTATTTCGATATAATAATTCTCCAATGACACATAGACGTTGGATTTACAACTTATAAGTTGCTAGCTAATGTAATCTACCTATGTTCCTTTAATTTTCATCACCAAATTACAATATTAGTTTTGTTAGGCAATCAAAGCCTTTGTTGCCGAAATCACGTTCCTAAGTTCACTCAACAGTGTAATTACGTAACAACCTAAGTCAAAAACGTCGGAACCCTGTTAGCTTACATAAGGCTCCATTGTCTGGGGCCGGAAGCGAGGTGAAATCAAACAGTAAGTCAATCCTGCGCCGCCGCCGGCGCCCGCCCAATCGGTTTAAACAACCCGCTCATTATAACTAGCGGCGGGCGGGGACAATCGCCGACGTAATACAAGGCACATTTTATATTTTAAGTTATTGTCAAAGTAAAATTGTTAAACTGTCCGTTCGTTCGTTCATTTCAGCCGAAAGACGTCCACTGCTGGACAAAGGCCACCCCCATCTCCGTCCGTTTGATTATAATTTACCTAGATAGGCAAACAGGCATGAGCATATGAACATCGAAAATTACAGATATTCATTATCACCTCATTAAATAATCTTTTTAAACAATCTTTAAAGCTACACACATACCTACCGAAAAAAAAACTTTTTAAAGGAGTGGATTAGAGATTACATAATATTTCATGATCACATGGTATCATGTAAGATTTATATGAAACAGACTCAATTGTAAATATAAAAATAATTACACATAATATTAATTACAGACAAGATCGTGTCGTAGACCGTAGTAGTCGTAACGTTAGAAGTGTAATGTTATCGTAGCAACGTAGCAACTACTACAGCTACGTACTACGAAAATATTTTATTCGTAGTCCTGTAGCAGGACTACGAAAATATTTTATTCGTAGTCCTGTAGCAGGCCGTAGCGATGACGAACTTTTAAGTGAAAGAAAGAAAAAGTATGTACTTATTCAATACCATTACACATAATGAGACTAAAGTAAAATTATTCTGTTTTTAATGAAAATAAAAATATTTTAACAAGTTGATTAATAAAACTAAACCACTACTAAAATTACATTTAGATTTGAACATACATAATTATTTCGTGAATTCAACCTATCTAAGTTTTCATCATAATGACATTCTAGTCCAGATATATTAAACCTACGCACTTAAGAGAGTATCATAAATTAATAATTAACGACAAACGTCGCCGACTGTACCCAATTGTAGTAACAATATGGATTCAGAAGTCGGGCGAATTTCTCTCAATCCCATTATGAATCGCGTTGAGATTATTAAACAGTCACCTTAACGAGAATCGGGGGGGTTTGGGGAGGACTAATTTTACGTTAGGATTAGTCTACATTTAGGAAAAGTTGTGTAAAATGAAATACTTCTTTTAATTCGAATTTCATGATAGAAGCAGGCCTGTTCATCTCCGCGAGTTTACATCGAAAACAAAACACGCACGATGGCCCACCTACAGGATACTATTCGACAAGGCCTCACATACGAGCGAACATTGACTCACGCACGCGTATTCTTGTGTATGATGGAAGAAAATAAAGAAAATGGTGTACTAAATACTGTGCAGTATTTAACTGCTTAAATAATAATAAAAACACAGAATGTACTTTTTTAAGTTGCCTCAAGACACTAAGAGGTAAATAAGTAGTTAATATTATTCATGATAATTCATGCTAAAACATGTATTTCCTCCGCCATTTTCCGCAGTTTGGCACCTCACGTCACATCATTTTACCGAAGTCAGCCCTATAGCTTCGGCGCAGTGCCGATCACTGACGTTTGTCAACAAAATGGTGCTTGACTCTTGAGACAGGCTAAATTACACCATATTGTTAATGACATTGAGCATAATTTTTTTTAAATACCTTCGCGAAGTAAAACTTCTGTACGTAGTACTTATTATTATTCTGTGATAGAAGTGACAAGATAATTTATTTTTTCTTTCTATCGATGTTCGGAGGAGTTAACTGATTTGAAGAAGCCTCGTTACTCTTAATTTAAAATTAAGCTTCTTTAAAGTTCTTACACCACTTTTTTCTCATGCAGCGACTTAACATCAGTAATGGATCTAATACTGGTATTTGTTACACACTAATATTAGTTTCCACTGGGACTCAAACTCGCAACCACTGCTAGTATTGAAAAATTGACTACACCACATTGCTATCATCATAGTTATCTCTGCATACATAAGAACATTTAGAAACTTCATAATGCTAATAACCACATAAATCTTAATACATTAGTGTAACCCAAACCTAAAGCGAGCAAACATATTTCGGACGGATCTATTAAAATAACTCATCCGCGAGCAAATTATACGCGATTAATATCAAAATGGTAGACAATCGGTTAGGGGGGGTTATGGTGGGATCAGGTGTTCGACTCCCGGCCGTCAAGGAATGAATATTAACAACCCTTTTGCGGGGCGTAATTGAAAATAATAGGCTCGCTGTGCCCGCGGTGAACGAGTTTAACGAAGGGGATGGAATAAAAATGTGGATGATATGTTGCCAATTGAGGTAGAGAAAATTTTAATGTTTTTGACTTGTAGTTTGATACGACTAAAGCCTGGTCTACGCGCGAGCGAAAAGGATGGGTAGCTTGGGGTCATTGGACAAAATTCTACGTGCTCACAGACTAGGCTTTAGACTCAATTTAAAGTAAAAAATTCAGCTTGTGTTACTTATCACTCACCTCAGAATATAAAAGTTACAGTTTTATTGACTAGACTATAAAGCCAGGTCCAGACGGGTGTAACGCGTAATGGAATGTATCGTGTAATGTAATGAAAATAGTATGGGCAGCACTTTACATGTTAAAAAAATGCTCGTAGTGCCATCCACACGTAGAATTCGTATTATTTTACACGTAATCTTACATTACACATTACTTACACCCATCTGGACCCGGGCTTAAGCCTATAAATTGCTGTGTTATTTTTATTTTTTTTAGATGGCCATTTTAACTCCACTACCTATACTGAATATGTATTTCAGTGCTATCTCAAATGCCATATTACACAAGGTTCACATAATTTAGTTTTGTATAATATCTGAAAGTGTTGTGAATGCTTATACTAAAACGTTTGTTTTTATTTGTATAGAGAACAATAGTGTCTAGACAAACCTAAAGAGGATTTAGGACGCTATTTGGATCAAATATGTAATTGCTCAATGATGAATAATAAATAAATAAATAAATAAATAAATAAATAAATAAATAAATAAATAAATAAATAAATAAATAAATAAATAAATAAATAAATAAATAAATAAATAAATAAATAAATAAATAAATAAATAAATAAATAAATAAATAAATAAATAAATAAATAAATAAATAAATAAATAAATAAATAAATAAATAAATAAATAAATAAATAAATAAATAAATAAATAAATAAATAAATAAATAAATAAATAAATAAATAAATAAATAAATAAATAAATAAATAAATAAATAAATAAATAAATAAATAAATAAATAAATAAATAAATAAATAAATAAATAAATAGTAAAGCTCCCGTTTTTTTTGGAAACGGTTTCTGCATCTATTATTTAGTCGTTCACCGGAGCCCGACGTGAGATTACCATTACGCGATAATACCTAGTTCTGGCGGTTCGCAATTTGTACGATTGTATTTGCTTGATAAATGGTTTCCAACTCGACTCCGTACTAAGGCAGGCTAGGGTGGAATATTGTATAGGTTTTCTAGGGATACACATAAGTATTACATTTAATTTTAAAACTTTCTTGTTTATTTAAATAACTTTTCATTAAAACTGCCTTATTTCGCTCACTCCAGTTTGTATGGAAAAGAACGCTTCTTACACCCGTATTTACACATTACTATGAGGTCTCACAGTGCGCGTGGACGCACAGGGCTCTACTCAATGCTGTACGTTTGATTTGTTGCTTCACTTGTGTTGCATCGTTTGTGAATACGGGTGTTAGTAACAAGACTGCCAAAAAAGTATAAATACATGTGGGAGTGTGAAACGGAACGCAAGGGAGTGAGTGAGACGGAATGAATGAGTGAGGAAGTAAGAACGACGGGATTTAAACAGAAGACGATTAGTATTAAGACGGTTCTAAGACGTTCCTATTTTTTGTGGTTTATCCTGGAGTAAATACAAATAAAGCTGAAGAAATACAACCTGGGTTTCAATTCCTACATACATGTTGTGTTTTATCAAATAATATGTGACATTTTCCCGAATCTGTCCTCGTACACAATACTCAACTCTACTTACAAATAGTTAGATTCGCGTTGTTCACTAGTTTAAATTGACATTTACGTAACATTATCAGTGGGTCTAGACAAAGTGCAAATTATAATCGCAAACCAGTCGAAAAGTGGTCGAAAAGCCCCTTTTTTGTATGGAGTTTTGACGGATTCGATTTTCGATTCGATCAAAAAGTGCGTTTTGTCTAAGGGGGCAGGTGCTTTGTGTATGAAGTTTGACAGATTTTTTATGTTTGTCAAAGTGCAACACAGCCTTAGTATGGAAATGTCATTTAAAACTAATGTTCATTGCGCGTTTAAGTTTTATGTAATAAAGGGGAATATGTTTTTATTTACTTACCTGATCGCTGTATTTGAGACAACGGCACAATTCGTCCGAAGAAATCTTTGTGGACCTGCAACAAACACAAATTTGATTGTAAACTTCAGTAAATAATAAATAGCTGGTATTGCCTATAGCAGCCTGGTGGTTTTAAAAAGCCACAGTGTTAAGCTTCAACGACATCATAAAGGTAGCAGGAAGGCGCTGGACGCAGGCCGCTACCGACCGGGCAACATGGAAAGCATTGGGGGAGGCCTATGTTCAGCAGTGGACGTCCTAGAAGATGATGATGATGATGAGTGTTAAGTTTGATGTGCCAACGTCGTACTTAAATGTTTTCGTGTGTGAATATGTGAATACTGGTGTGAATTTAATTACACGAGCGCCACGTCGGAGCGGCGCGTGCCGAGAGCGGGCACTCGCGGCGTAACGACCGCGGGCGTAACGACGACGGCTATGTAAGGCTGTGGTCACAATACTAGACAATGAATAAATGTGCAAAAACATAGTTTTCCCGTGGAGTTCCAACCTCAAGAAAATATGTTTAGAACTACCGGGGGTTCGCGTATACGTCTTAGGATTTAGAGCGTTTTAGTGTCATGTGGATGTGCCAGGCGAGATTTGGTTAGCATGCGTTAAATCACAGGCTACGGGTCACACGGAGTTTTTAATCAGAATATTTTTTTAAACTTGCAATTTTTTTATGCATGACAAGGCAGGTATTTGACCGCAATCGCACCTGATGTTAAGTGAGATGCAGTCTAGGATACAGGAGTTAGCTGTGTACCTTTCTTTGCACACCAGGAAATTGCAAATACTTGATAATCAACCATTAATCGCGTAACATTGTACCCATAAGACAGTCTCTACAACAGATGTAACTAGAAATATCCCAAAGGATGGCACTCTAGTCTAGACCTAAGAAGAAACGCCTCTCAAGCCCGTAGCCGCCGCAAACGCGCTAACGACTCGACAAAAACAGTTACGCTAACGAGCTAAGACGACGGAGTCAAAGAAAAAATAATTGCAATTTTAAACGCGCTGTGATGACGTTTCTAACATCACACGGTCTCGTAGTAACGACGTAGCAGTGCTACGCCGTAGTTAACGTAGCACTAGTCGTGCCACTTGTTCGTAGCAACTCGTAGATGTTTTTACACAGAATGTGTCTCTTTCATAGAGATATAGAGAGATGCCAACTAATGCGCTGAGTTCGAAACTCGTCGTATTAGAAATTCACACACACATAGGGTTGCCAGGTCCAAAATCACAAAAGCCGGACTTTGTGCTTCATTTGGTCGGACATTTTACCCTAAAAGCCGGGTGTCAATTAGTGTCAAGCTCGTGAGTGAGTACTATCATCTGCTAAACAACATTCTGATGCGTGCGCTTCATATGATTCTGTGGCTCGACTTTCTCCTGGCGCGCGCAAATAAAAAGCCTAACAAATGCCGGACAGGCCGGACAAGGCAATATTTGGCCGGACAAGTCCCTAAAAAGCCAAACATGTCCGGCTAACATATCCGGACGCCTGGCAACCCTACACACACACAAAGTAATCAAAATATGTGCTCCACTGCGGTATTAGTAATCAACGTTCGAATAATCTTTCGTACTACGCATGCAATATAAACTGTTTACATTATGACGTCGCTGCTGTCATCATTGCTTTCACGAGCAATGTGTTCTGTTTTTGGGCATATTGCTGCGACACCGGCTCCGCCCCCTTGTCACATCTTACTTTTAGTTTCTGTGTCTGTGGTCTCTTTCGTGTTTTAGTGACAAAAAGCACTTTTTTACGCTATTTTTAGTTCTAACAAAAATAGCGTAAAAAAGTGCTTCTAAAGGTGTTTGAGGGCGTAAATCTAAAAGTATTAACGCTTACGATCATATTTATATCTTACCAAGCTAATTTCTCGAGTCACCGAAATCATTACTACACCGAACCCTCGAAAAGCGTATTAATATCAATAAAGTGGAATAAACAGCAGTAATGGATAAGCAAACCGTATCATGAGAGGCGCACGGGCGATAGCAAACCAATTACTAGTTTGTTACAGCGTCGCGAGCGCTTCGACAATATCGCGGGCAGCGCGGGCGTATCTACGAGCTAGATTGGACATGTGGTCTGAATTATAGGCTGAAGCGGAGAAAACAACTACTATTCTTGGCCAAGACACTTTTAACATAAAATATAATAAGCCTAGTGACATTCAGTACCTATATCGATTTTAGACGGGAAGCCAAAATATTTTCCGTTCAAACACAATAATTTATTTTAGCCTGTAGTTAATGCTAGCCCAGTTGTAGCAGAGGTTACCGGGAATATTAGTAATTTGCACAGTTTTTAAGCGTAACGTGTGTTGTTTACATCGAAAATGGATCATAGAACACAAATTACTAATAGTCCCGTTATCCCCTCGTACTAAGCTAAAGATGCTTGTGTCACGATCACGAGTGAGCTCACCACAATAGTCGAGCGGCAGCGGGATTCGTTCCCGCGTTCCCCGGATCACGAGTCGGCCAGTCGGACCCCTTCACCGTTCGGCTATCGTGGCTTCATTATTATCATCATCATTTCAGCCATAGGACGGCCACTACTGAACATAGGCCCAACGATTTCCAAATTGGCCGGTTGGTAGCGACCTGCGTGCTATGTGCCCTGCCCACGTGTGATGAATACATGTTCTGAAACGTGTCCTCTCACTAAAGACCTAATAAGCAAGTGCAAAGTTACACAACGTGCTATGGAGAAGAACAGGGTTTATGTAATAATGTCCGCTGTCTCTCAAACCTTGTCCCGCGCCGTAACTTCGTTCGCCCACAATATTTCCGATTACAGGCGCTAGGCGGGCGCGGTAAATCGGAACACACAGCATAAACACAATTTCGCACTCATAAAAGTTATCGGCGGGGTGACGCGTTACGACAGCGGGGGGGACCTCGTATAGTCAATCAGAGGTGATACTCCCAAGAAATTGTTATGGACTCGTTATTTGAGGTAACGTTGTTTTGGGATCCCTTTCGCCATAAAGCAGAATGAGGGTTGACTTATTTTCTTAATACAAAAAAGATACAAAGGATTTTCGGTAATCTCACTTTGGTAATATGAATGATGGAGCTCTGTTTCGGAACATGATAATGTTGGGTTGGCGTACAGATTTATATTTTTATGATCCAGTGACGATTTAAGTAGGTGGCAGTTGTTAAATGATTGTTTGATGATATAATAGAAGTGCACTTTTAAAAAGAAAGAATCCTAAATTTAGAACGGGATATAAGAATCTTTATTTGACTAAATTATGTAACTACTTACTTTAATTTAATTTCTAAATTAATCTAAGTAGTGTTAATTGAGACATTTCATACGCTTAAGACGACTCGTTAAGTTTTGGCTCATCAGAGTTTTTGGTGAAAACTGAAGTTACCATCAAAATCAAAATCAATCAAAAATCAAAATCAAAAATATTTATTCAGTTTAGACCACAAGTGGCACTTATGAACGTCAATAGAAAATAATAAAAAAAGAAAAAGGTAGCCCTTATGGGGCACTTTACATGTCTCCTTATCTTTTGGGCCCTACCAGCGCTTCGAGACAAACATATGGCAAGTGCTGAGAAGAAACGCCGGAACAAACTCATCGTCTATCTATACTAAGGTTACCTTAGTTGTCCTCACACAATAAGAATACTTATATTGACAAACGACCGTTCCTGATATTGACAAACGATGGAGCGTAATCCTCATATCACAACTAAACCTGCTTAAAGCCAGGCTATCAGCTTACTAAAAGAAAAGCAAAAACAATAGGTTCGAAAACAACTTTAAACATTCATTCCGCTCTCAAATATTTATCGGCGATACACAGCGTGGGTAGATAACATTTTTCCGGTCGGGTGACGGGGTAGGTGGGTACACAGTGTGACGTGGAAACAGTGGGTGTATTTTGTGTGAAAATACCTGGTGGTTTCGCCGATGCACAGTGATTCGAGTAGAACAAGCTAGCTGGACAATATTATTTTTTTACTTTAATGGGTTTAATACAGGCATTACTTACTTTTTTGTGCAATTTAAGATTAATTAGGCTTGTCATTATAATTATTATAGGTAGGTTTGAAAAAAAAATTTTTTTGGTAATAAAATATTTATTTCCTAAAATCAAGAGAAACAGACTAAAAAGGAAAGAAGAAACTAACTTTACAGTATAATAATAATTGGTCTTATGATGTATTAGGTGGTAAAGTATGAAATTCCCGTTTTTTATGGAGAATTTAATGAAAATCAATTTTTCGATATAAACATTTTTGCGATTTATATGGAACAAAGAATCTCAGTTTTTTTTAATTTAGTAGGTAGACTGGGACAACATTAATGACTTGCCAAGTTGCTGTGGCCAGCAGACATTTGCGCTGCAGCTTCAGCAGCCAATATCAGTTCTCAAGTACTTCTTGAGGAAATGAGGTCTAAAAGTCTTCTTCTTTTCGTCTTTTTGCTGGACTCGTCGAACTCCTTGAGTGGTCGTCCAGGTGTAGAATCTTTCGACGTGGAAGACTGAACTTTATGAACAGAAACATGTAACACTATGGCTCCGGGAATCCACTCAGTTTTGTTTTTCATGAAGCGTTCCCTGTTTTGCCGTATTTCGTCCATTGAAATGAAATTGAAATGCGACTGATGCTATTCTTCAACTCTCTCAGCGAATTTTCATGATCCCAATACATCACATTTTGAGAATATAAATTAAAAATCATGCTATTCTGGTCACTTTTTCAATGTTTTAATCATTAATCAAAAAACTTGATTTTTTATTAATCTGAAAAAATAAAATTGTTGTGCAAAAGTGTGCAAACTGAAACTGGTATATTTGAATACTAGAGGGTTACAGCTACAACATATATAAATTCCAGACTGGGGTCAAGTGGGGGCATACAACTTCTAGTCTTCCAAACATAAAATTTTGAGAAAAATATAAAGGTCAACATTTCGCCATACTTTTTAAAACTATGTGCATTATTATGCACCTTATTGTACAGAAAATAAAAAGTACTTACCCTTATCTTCAAAATCCATCAC